ATTGGCAAGCGCCCGTTTAACCCTCTCTATCCAACCAAACAAAAGCTGTTTCGGCATGCGGTGGCTGGGCATGCGGGCTACATGACCCAGCCAACGCAGCCTTGCCTGCCGGAGGAGCTCACCGATGTGACTTTGTCCAGATATTTCGAGGATTTGTGAGCTCCTCACACAATCCAGTCTGGTTAAACCCAGGATGGATCGCAGGCAGGCCAACCTAAATGTTTACAACCGGCGGAGATGCTCCATTAAGGGGGTCCACGTTTTGCAAGCGTAGAGAAGGGAGGGAATGACCGTGGCCGAGAAGACCTGAAGCTTCATGCGGAGCGACAGACCAGGTTGCTTCCACACAGCGTTACGCAACCGATGAAAAGATATTGCCGCTCGACTGATTCAGAGTGAGACCTCTGCTGTTAAACCGGAGCCGCACACAAACACACACACAAACGGTGACAACAACAACCGCAATTTGCCGCTGAGTGGCGGTGATGTCACCACGATGATTGTGCCAGGCGATGTGCACGACCCAGGTGCCACGGGTCTACTGACACACAACCACACTCAGACGCAGACCCCCATTTAGCCTTAACGTGCCTTTGGGGCAAGTGCTGTTCCCGAGCAGCATAAATGGGGCCGGGATGGCGCAGGAGGAGGTGTGTGGGTAGCACCAGGCCCGGCCGCCTTTGTCTCCCGAAGTCACAGGGAGCAGCACCCGGGGCCCTGTGGACCGCCGTGGTCGTGGTGGTGAGGAGTGACGCGTCGCTCATGCTCGTGTGAGGTGCACGGAGAGTCTGTGGCGGAGTGCTTGCTCAGGCCGAGAGAGCCACGGCAGAAGGACTACGACACCATGGCGGAGGTGACGGTGGTGAAGGAGGGCTGGCTCTACAAGCGTGCTACAAGCATATGACTCGGGTGATGAGAAATCAGGCGCACAGGCCGAAGATGGAACTGCAGACCACGCTCCGCTCGCTGTCCTCCAAGCTCAAGGATGTGAGCACATGCAACGACCTGATCGGCAAGCACGGAGCCGCGCTCCAGCGCTCGCTCAACGACCTGGAAACCCTTAAGCCGCCGCCCGAGTGCAGCGAGAAGCTAAAGGCCATCAATAAGCGTGCCACCCTCCTCCGCGTCACCTCCAATGCTATGATCAATCGTGATCTCTTGCTCTGATGTCACATTGAGGGCGGTGCTCATCTCCAAAAACTCAAGCACACGAGCGAGAAGCCTTGCAATGTGTGAGGAGTGCGTGCAAGACGTTTCTCGCGCTCAGCCTACAAGTATTTTTTTTCGCTTGTGTGTTAAACTGTGTGTACGCTTGATATTTTAAAGATGGAAATTCTCCTGCTGTGTATCCTACTGCTGTCCCTCCCGGCCATATCTAGTGCCACACTCAACTCTACAAATGGCTACCCTCGTTACCTTGCGTCCATACTTGTTGCTCAATTTGCCACTACAACTTATAATTAAACAGCTCATAGACACTTCTACACTCCATCATTGTATCTTTTTAAACCCTATCTTTGTCCCATTACTTCACCAGCACTCCTTCCAAACTTCATTCTGCTCTTAAAAATAACACAATCTGCGAGCTGCTGCTATTCGTCCAAGGTTCGCCGCTCTTCATCCTTTCCCAGAAAATACCTGTGCAAACAATTAGTTCTACTTTTCTTATATCTGGGAGGTAATGGAGCTTCATCCTGGCCCAAATGTAAAAAACTCGTATAATTCTGTAGATTTTTCTGGCAGAAAAGGTGTTGGTGTTCTACATGTCAACATCAGAGGGCTTGTGATTAAATTAAGTCAACTAAAGCTAGAAGTGGCAAATCTGGACCCGGACATATTTTGCCTAGCAGAAACATTTCTCACTCCTGCCGTAAATGACTTGCAGATTACGATTTACTACAACCTTTTTCGGCCTGACCGAGGATCTGAAGGAGGTGGAATTGCCATCTATGTTCGTAATACTATTGCATGTTCACTAGCTCACTCCTTGTTTAAAAAAATGTTGCTTTGAAGGTCTGGCTCTCAGAAAAACTCTCCAAAATAATCAATAGATATTGGTAGTGTGCTGCTATAGACCGCCGAGTGGGAAGGATGTTGAAGCTGCATCTGCACTGAGAGAGCTTTTTGGGGGCCACCCTAAAGGTGAAATAGTTTTAGTGGGTTATCTAAATTGGAATTGGTGAAACCCGCCAGCCATGGCCACACATTTTACAGATGCATTTAAGATATTTCTGATCTCACAATTTCGCACTGACTGGTGTTCTGGGTAATAACCTTAATGGTCACTCCTTCATATTTGGGGTGAGATCATCAGCCAGACCCAAAGCCCCCCCTAAATTAGTTGAGAAGTACTCCATGATACACTTCAGCATTCAGGCATTTACTAATAATGTGCTTCACTCGGATATTGATAAGGTCTGTGATATCCCCAACCTGACTACGGCTTGGGAGACCTTCAGGTACACGTTTCTCCAAATTCTTAACAAACATGCTCCGTTAGTTAGATTTAATACTAAAGGCAACTGCCCACCATGGTTTGATCCTTTGATTAGTAAGCTCATGAAAACTAGGGACAAGGCTTGGGCATGTGCTCATTATAGTAATATTGTCAATGACTGGCTAGAATACAGGTTTTTAAGGAATAGATGCGTCAAAAAAATACGGCATGCAAAAAATGCTTGCTTTACCTCCACTCTCCTGGAATCAATTTTAACCTTCATTTTTCTGATGCTGGTGACCTTTTGATAATGTATTGGGAGTCACCCCTGCTCATGCAATTTCCTACACCCCTGTCCAAACATTAAACGAATTTAGTTTCCAGCCTATCCACGAAAATTATGTTCTGAAACAACTGTCCTACCTCAAAGGGTCCTCCTCTACCAGAGCAGATAGTATTCCCGTCTTTGCTCTGCTAACTGTTGGTCACCTAATATACAAACTTATAGCCTATATTTTCAACCTGTCCATTAAAGAAGCATCAGTACCTCTAGAATGGAAACATTCCGATGTTCATCCACTTCACGAAGGGGGCCCTAAAGATGATCCAAATAACTATCGACCTATCTCAATTTTGTCCCGTTGATGAAAATTTTTGAAAAATTATTGAACTACCAAATGAGCAGTTTCCTGTCCGACAACAATCTATTACATCGAAAAAAAATCTGCGTTCGGAAAAAAATACAGCAGCACATCTGCTGCATTAGACTCTCTGAATCATATTTACAGTAGCCTTGATAATAAGCAGTACTGCGCCAGTCTTTTTCTTGACTTGTCCAAAGCCTTTGATACAGTAGGCCACAACACCTTGCTTCGTAAACTAAGTTGCCTCCATTTCTCCAAACACGCAGTAGAATGGTTACAAAATTACCTCTCTTCTCGCACCCAAACTGTATTCACACATGGTTGGAGGTCAAACAGTGTTAAGATAACAAAGGGGGTTCCACAGGGTTCCATCCTCGGCCCCCTCTTGTTCTCTCTTTATATAAATGACTTGGGCACTGACCTGGAACATTCCAGGGTAAATCTGTTTGCAGATGACACGATACTGATTACTGCTGGCCGCTCTCCGGATGACGTGATTGCTAAGCTCCAGGGTGATTTCAACAAACTACAATATCAGCTAGTTGCTCTTAAACTGGTCCTGAATGCCTCCAAAACCAAGGTGCTATGCTTCTCACCAGGACTAAAGCAGGAAGTTATTTCCCCCCAATTATATTCCTTAAATAATCATCAAATAGAGAAAGTCAAGATCTATAAGTATATTGGGGTCATCTTTGATTCAAAACTGAATTTCAAGATCACATTCATTACATTGGTAAAAAGACAAAATTAAAAATTAGTTTTCTGTATTGACACAAGCACTGCTTCCCCCCTATGTTCCGCTTGGAATTAATAAAAGATACAGTACTCCCTCTACTTGAATACTGTGACATCGTATAGAAATCAGCCCCCAGTACTTTACTGAAGAAGCTTGACTCAATTTATCACTCGGCCTTAATATTTGCATTGAAATGGCCATTTAGGACCCACCACTGCGATCTCTACATTGGGTTAAACTTAACTTATCTTAACGATCGACGGCTTGTGCATCAGATCTTATTTATTCACGATGTACTTACAAAAAAATCAGCAGACTACCTGCTGGATCTCCTCACTGTTTCTAAGAACAAATGTGACCTAAGGTCTTCGCTCATTTACCAGCTTCACATTCCTTATTGCCGTACAAATACTGGAGGAAGGTCCTTTTCTATTGATTCCCCCAGAGTCTGGAATGCTATCGCCAATACATTGCAACTTGGATCACTACCTGTGAGATCTTCATTCAAAACTGCTCTAGAGTAGTTGTACACGGCAAGCTGACACTGCTATTCAGAATGGCCTGAAATAAAATGTATAATTCCGGATGACCGCTGCAAAGTATGATCTTGAGTTTTGATTGTGGTGTGCTGATCTTTAAAGGTGTATTGAGAAATGTTGATTCTGCTACTGATGCTCCTGCTATTATGGAATGACTCATGCAGCCAGCTATGGCTGCGGGGTTTGGTTGTACATGTTATGTATATCGTTTGTTGTTGGATTTGAATCACAATTCCTATGATCACTGTTACATTGTCTTTGTGGCTTTATTTTGGTGATTTTGAGGACGGCTTGGTCTGGCCATGTTTGTTTGTTGTAGTACAGAGTTGACCTGATAACTTTAATCTACATTGTCTTATGGTTGTTATTGTTTGACTTGCATCCCACTGGGATTTTTGCACAGTGTTGAAATGCGGTGTTTTTTCTGAAAGACTTTTGCTGTTTTTTTTTCCAGGATTTTTTCTGTTGCATATAGTCACTTTAAGATGCTTCTTGTTCATGTTTTTTTGTTTTGTTGCACCCGAGTCAAAAGCCGCATGGCTCACAGGGTTATACCTAATACATGAAAACTCAATTTTTTTTTAGTCCGAGGTAACGCAGTGACGTTCAGCGTCTTCACTGTTCGGTCACACAAGGCGAGGCCTGGCTGATGCTTTCACAAATAGAAATGTATTTAATCTGCATAAGTACATGACCATCATATTTGATTGATATTTCAGCAGAACAATACAATAAAGCGTGCATATCCATGTTTGCGTCAGTGGAGTTGGATATTGTGTGTAGTTATTCGCGTAACATAAATTCTGCCACTCATTATGTGATATCTCCGATTACGCAAAATCCATGTCCAAAGGAAAACATTGGGATTATAACAAAAACACTGTAAAGCGAAAACATGTAAATTAGGGGAAGGGAATTTGAATATTGTCAGTGCTACGAGAGGTCCTTCCAACTCTAATATTAATGTGGGGGCGCTTATCAGGCTAAATATATTGTCAAGTTACGCACAATTATCACAATTTGTTAGCAAACTCAGTTCTAGTAAACACATTATTTATATTCGCCTTTTAAACAATAAAAAAGCACAATCATGGTTGAAAGTGCTGATGACCATGTCTAGAGGACCTTCTGCAGTGGTTCGCTTGTGGTACAACTGCTGCTCAATAAAGATCCCTGAACTCTGTCAAAGCAGGGCAGTCAAACCCCCAGGCCCCAGTCTAAACCGGGTTTATTGAAATCTACACTTGAGACTAACATTTCTATTTGTTAGGTTTTTCTCCAAATTAAATTCAAATTATGCTACTGTAAATGTGTCAATTAATGGAAGACTTGTTTTAGCTACCCATGAACCACCCGGTGTTAACTAACAGCCCCATGAGATTATCTCGACGCCTTGCTGTCCTAATCTAGTGATGAACGGAGGTCCGTGGGTGGAGTTGCCACTTTAATGCGAATGCCCTCCGTGTCCGTGCCATGGACGGACCGAGCCTTGTCATGGACGCCAGCGCCACCCTGCACAGAGGAAACCACATCGCCACGATACGAAAGGAACTTTCGGGTACTGTCACACACTGAAGAGAAACTTAACAATGTCGCATTTACAGTCATTGATAGATTAATATTTATAATATAAATAATCCCGTACAGAGGTGACATTTAAATCAGAAATGGTCTGGGGCGCTCATGGAAAATGCTCAGCACAGTGACCGCACGTTTCAGGGCTCTGCTTGTTTATGGCCTTCAGGCAGAGGGGCTTCCAATCAGGGGAGTTTTTCATTTGAACCGAAAAACGGAACAGGAAACCGGTATTAACCACTTTTCATGAACCGAAAAAAATGATGCAAATTCAACTATCTGCACTGGAATGAAACCCCAATACAGGATTAAATTAGCAGTTTTAAAACGATTAAATGGTAAATAAAATTTAATATAGTATTTACAATGTGTTTCTTGGCCGATTTCACTTTTCGTACACTCGATGGAACATTGACTATGGTCCCTCAGCTGGTTCAGGGGGATGCTCAATGTGCCAGGGTGGTGGAGTAAAGTGTGGGCGAGCCAACTTCTAGCAACACGTCCGCTCAGTGTCGGAGTAAACCAAATACCCTAGACAGCTCCCTCTAATGGAGTCCCTTCCGCCAGCAGTGGCGTGAGCACGCAATCTCAGGGCTGCTCCTTTACCTATCAACGTGGGTGGCTCAGCGAGAGAGCGAGCTTCTCGAGGTCGGAAGGCGACGAGTTCACAACCTGGTTGGGGGTTTACTCAGCCAATCATCCCTCCTGAGGTTTATAAAAAAATAAGTTCCGCTTTGTAGGTAAGTCAACAGGGCTTGTACCACGAGAGACTCGTCCCCAATCGCAGTGATGTGCCGCGTTTGCTGCACCCTGCGCGAGGCCTGTTGCTTCGTCTGAATGCTCACGCTCTGCGCGTTCCCGCAGGTGTGGAAGTGCAGTCCGTGAATCAACGCGTGCACGGCCAGCAATCAAGTGAAGATGTAAATGTTAGCGACCCATGGGGGTACAAGTCGTGACCTCAAGCGACAGTGATAGATTGCGGGTGGTGGTGGGGAGATAGACAAGTATTTACGGTTACATTTTCATTTAAAGCTTTCGTGACTGCAGTAATTCATATTCTTAGCTCTTTCGGTAAAGTCACGTTGAAGGGAAACAATAAAATAATAAAATATATATAAAACAATAAAAATTCTCACGACGTTTGAGAATTTTTTTGTTATATATATTTTATTATTTTATTGTTTCCCTTCAACGTGACTTTACCGAAAGAGCTAAGAATAATAATAAGTATTTAGGGTTTCTAAACAATGGCAACAGCTGGGGGGTTGGTGTGCTGAGCATCAAAGGGGGTGTACGGGGAGAATCTAAATATTTATTTATACTGGAGGACAATCCGGTGAGCTAGAAAGCTCTTGTTCAGCAATGCCCAGTAGGGACGGGTAAGAACGTTACAACAACAAACAATACACAAACACGACAGGAGTGCATAGTATAGGAAAGGTAAACAAATCACTTGAAAACAAACAAGTTAAACTAAACAAATTTTTTTTTATCTTACCAGACTGGCCACAAATGAGAGCTCAAAGTGGCTCATCCTGTGGAAATTTACAGCAGCAAAATAATCAAATGAATCTCAATCCAAGTTTGAGAATAAAAACCCAGCGACCACGGGGAGAGGGAGGTGTAGGGAGGAGAGACGCGCAGCAAGCGCCAGGGTCTGGATCTGTTATGGGAGGGAGAGGGCAGAAGCAGGGCGGGGCACGAGGAGACGAGGAGCGAACACGGCGGGGATGGAGAGAGGGCGACGCAGCGAGCACCCATCAGCCCTGGGATTGTACAGGACCGTGCGGTGTTAATTGAAACCTATTGTCTGAGTACACCTACCCCTGAAGCGTGCTGTGGTCAGCTGGCGCGGCGCTCAGTGTAATTGTTCGTGGGATATCCCTACTGCTGAAGAGGGCTGTGAAGCGGGCATTGTTTCAGTTGTTGCTCATGCGACCTGTTCCCCGTTATGGGACTTGGAAGTGCTCTGGAGCAGAGGTTACGCGACAATAAAACCAGCCCTGAGCCCCTTTGCCATGGTCTGGGTCACTACATTAACATTGCACATTGCCGAGAAGTTGTCATTTGTAATTTATCTGAAATTACGTAGCTAATTTTGAGCAAATGTTCAAATTGGAACCAGGTTACACTGCTCATAATAAAGGTTTTTCGGGTTCGATCGCGTTTTTTTTTATAAATGTGTCGTAACCCTCCACCACCCGACACGGCCAATCAGCAAAAAAGTGTCACGTTGACAAAAGACAATTATTTCACTACTTTAGCACCACCGGTGTGTTGAAGAGTGAATCCACAACATTTACAGTTTGAATACGACGTTTCGCTGGTAATTACATCCAGCATCGGGCAATTCGCCATAATGGTAAAGCCCTCACTTGCTCTCCGTCTTAAACCTTTATTATGAACAATATTGGTCGTGAAAGCCTACGTGTTAAACTGACTAACCTCTATGGGGAGGATACTTTTCTTAAAACCAGAAAGTTGGAGAAGCTCCGCATTAAGCGGATGAAATTGATATCTTCACTGGCGTTCCTCAAAAGGTGCAGAGATTCAAAGGTAATACCAAACGCAGTTAAAATAACACATCACAGAAAGACTTCTAAGCTAACCAAATACTACAAAGCTAGCAAACTATTATTAATAGAGAGAATACAGCACAACAGGAGTTAATTATGTTACATTTCCGAATCGCTAAAGCAGTTACACTTAGATATAAGCAATAGTGTATCCATTCATTATTGGAATATAATCTATACCATAACACAACAATCGGCTGATAATGTGTTTAATCTAACAAAAACTAACCTAATGAATACATTTTCTAGACTTCATAATAAACAAATCCCTACTAAAAACGAACAATTTAAAAACAAAACTGTAATGAACGTGACTAACACTGTTTTAACTAGTGACATGATCTCTGCCCTTTCTAAAGGCCTTAACTTTGCCGTTACCCCACGCACAATTCCGGTGGATGAGATAATTGCTGAGGTAGAAGCAGCAGTAAGACTCCTTCCACATAATGAGGCAGAGATGACTAGACACGAGGTTGCCAAAATAATTGAGAATAGCAAAGTTACGAAAGTAAATATTAGCTCTAACGAAGTAAAGCCTTAAGAGAGCTCCGTGTAAATAAAGATATCCAAATCCTGGCAGCTGATAAAGGCCGCACTACTGTAGTGATGTCACGAGCCGATTATGATAATACAATGAGAAATTTCCTAGAGGAAAGTACCTACATTAAAATTAAAGGAGATCCAACTATCACTTAATAACGTAAGACTACTGCAATAATTGCAAATTCATTAATCGCTAAGCATGAGCGACACCAAATTAAGCCAAGGGCCTCAAAACCACCTAGAGTGTATGGGCTACCAAAGATTTATAAAATCGGCATCCCATTACGACCCATAGTCAGTACAATTGGCTCTGCCACTTATAAATTAGCAAAATATATAACTAAACAAATACAGCCCTACATCAGTAGGAAATCTTCATTCATTAGAAATTCAGAACATCTTGTGAATGTGATTAAAGATAAAACTTAATCCTAATGATATTCTGGTAAGTTTTGATGTGATTTCTCTATTCACTAAGGTTCCAGTGAACGAATCGCTTAAATTATTTGATACACTAGCAAGGAATACAGGTTTACCAAAAGATATTCCGAAACTTGCTGACCATGGTTTAAATAACATTTACTTCTTATGGAGAGGGGATTTCTTTAAACAAAAGGAAGGATCAGCAATGGGCTCTCCTTTATCGCCTGCTATAGCAAATATGTACATGGAAAACTTTGAAATAAGAGCACTTGCCTCGAGCACATTAAAACCATCTTTTTGGTTTAGATATGTGGATGACACTTTGGTTGTCTGGCCATATGGTAAAGATACACTTAATGATTTTCTAAATAATCTCAATACACAAAACCCGGTCATCCAGTTCACCATGGAAATGGAGGTGAATAACACACTCCCGTTCCTAGGTATTTTGCTTGGACATGGCATAAACGGTAAAATAACACAAAGCGTTTACAGAAAGCAAACGTACACTGATGCCTATCTGAATGCAGATTCGCATCATCATCCAGCTCAGAAATCCTCTCTTATCAAGACGCTCATACATTGGGCTAAATCAGTGTCAGATGGTGAAAGTCTAGTGAGAGAGATCAAACACGTTAAAGAAGCATTACGACAGAATGGCTACAATAATACTCAAATTAACAGAGCACTGAATGCCAAATCACGATCGCAAAGCAACACTGCTGAAAGTGATCAGATTCTTAAAGCAATTAAAATTCCATATATCTCAGGAGTAACTGACAAATTAGCTCGTGTTTTGCAAAAACAAAACATTACAGTAAGATTTGGTACAGTACACAAAATTCAAAAACTAGTATCTTGCACTAAAGACGAATTGCCTAAATTATCAACAGAAGGTGTATATCGGATTAATTGTTTATGTGGCAGATGCTATATTGGACAGACGGGACGTAACATCAGCATAAGACTAAAAGAACAAATAAATATTAAATTATCGCAAACACAACTGTCGGCAGTGGCAGAACATGCTTGTCAACAAGGACACTCAATTGATTTTGATAACGTTGAAGTGTTGTGTAATAACTTTAATCGGTCTGATAGCTATAGGCTTAGTGCGGCTTTGAAGCGTATTATTAAATAATACATATTACAATTCCTTATAGGGGGAAACACATTAATTAACGGATTACTAATGTAGCATACAATCACATTAACACACATTACAACTAATTACTAATCTACAACTCATTACTAATCATAACCATTGACTGATTACTAATCGATTATATAATTACAATTCCCCCCCTATAGCCTCAAATCACTGCACCTGAAATGAGTTAAATGATGACGTCACCCTGCTGCTCTATTTAAGACCGGGAGCAAGCGAGGGCTTTACCATTCTGGCGAATTGCCCGATGATGCTGGATGTAATTACCAGCGGAACCCGTTCCCGTTCTTCCTGAAGTGCCACAGCGGCAGACGTCGATGTCCCGTGGATTTCCCAGGGGTGTGCGAGGGCCCCAGGCCGGTGCGGCCTGGGGTGGCCTTGCTGCCGGAGGGTGGGGCTGCCACACGCGCTGCGGGGGAGGTGATTTCACCGCAACGAGCGAATGGAGACGGCAGGGAAGGAGACGGGGACGCGGCGTACGCCACGGACCATGGAGGGCGCCCGCGGGGCCGAGAGTGACCGGAGGGGGGGGAGGTGGTGCAGCGAAGGAAGGGTGTGGGGATGGTGGATGGACCTGGAGGGGACGGGGGGGAGGAGCGAAGAGGACGAGGGGAAGCGCCGGGAGACTGGGGAAGGAGCGCCCCCGAGCAGAGCACAGGGGAAGGAGCAGGAGGGGTGCCAGCAAGCCGGGGGCCGCGGGAGGGACAGTGGAGGGAGAGGACAGCGGACCCTGGCCCGGTGGGAGCGGGGAGACCCAGAGAAGGAGCGGGGAGGTGGCGCAGTGGAGCCGGGGCGGGCTTGACACCAACGCACGCCAGGAGGCACAACTGCGTCAGGGTGGAGTTCAAGGACGACGTGGAGGAGGAGGTGACACTGGGTAGAACGACCTTTGTGAGCTCGGTGATGCTCGGGATGCTGCAGGTGGAGGTGGCGGATCTTTACTGCTTGATTGCTCTGCCGGGGGGGGGGGGGGGGGGGGGAGAGCTTTTGACGTGAGCTTTAATTCGAATCTCCTGCTGCGGAATTTCCTCACTCGCTTCGAGGAGAGGGCGGGGGAGAAGCCCCTGGCATCCATGAGGACGCGGCTGAGAGGAGCATAGCCTTAGACTGGCCGGGGGGCTGGATCAGTGACGTGGTGGGGGACTACATTGGGCAGCACGGCCTGAACCGGTGGGGGGGCCGGTGGACCCCCAGAGAGGTGCGGGCCAAGGCGGAGAAAGGGGAGGCCTGTGATGAGGTGCCAGGTGCGAGGAGGGAAGTGCACCGGCAAAATTTGGAGAAACGTGTCGTCGGCGGCACTCACAAAGGAACAGAGGGATTTGTCATGGCTGGCAGTCCGGGACAAACTGGAGACGACGGGTTTCATGTACGCCCGCCAAATGGCACGCACCCCCAAGCTGCAACGGGGTCAAAAGCGCAGTACACGTGATGGTGGCATGCCCCTTTGCCCAGGAGGTGTGGAGGCGGAGCGAACCGCTGTTGGCCCGGTTCGCACTGTCGAAGGTGACAACATGGGACGTTATGTGGGGGGAACTGCGGGGAGTGGGAGGGACCGGGCGTGGGCCATAATAGGAGCAACGAAGGAGGCCTTGTGGAAGGCGCGCAAGAAGGAACTGGAGGGGTCCCAGATGTCCCCTTTGGAAGCGTGCCACGTGGCAAGGAGGTTGTTGGAGAGGACGGCGGAGGTGGACCGGGTGAGGCTGGGACACGAAGCCGCAAGGAAAAAGTGGAAGTGGCCGCTGCCCAGGGTGGGTTAGGGCGGCTGGGGATGGGGGGGGGGGGCCTTTACTGGCGCCCGGGGGGGCGAGGGCGTGCGTGGCTGGAGGGGAGGTAGCCCCTCCATGCACAGATGTAGCAAGTGCTGTGTCGGGGGCGACTCCGGTCCTGCGGATGGGTCGGTGGCCGAGTGGGGCCTTCGCGGCGTGAGGGAGGGGGGGTGGCCCCTCGATCTTTGCTTGGTTGTGTTTCTCAGCTGTGACACTGAATAAAATCTTAAAAATCGTAATTACCAGCGAAACGTCGTATTCAAACTGATTCACTCTTCAACACACCGGTGGGCTAAAGTAGTGAACTAATTGTCTTTTGTGAACGTGACACTTTTTTGCTGATTGGCCGTGTCAGGTGGTGGAGGGTTACAACACATTTATAAATAACGCGATCTAACCCAAAAACCTTTATTATGAATAATATTGGTCGCGAAAGCCTACGTGTTAAACTGAGGTTACACTGCTTTTCGCAACTGTTCGAATCCCTTTTGAACCAAGTGAACTGTAACTGGTTCAGTTGCTTTACCTGAACCAAACTGGAAAACCCATCAGTTCAATTTCCCTGGCCGAGTACAACCTGCTGCTAGAACCACCCTGTCAGGGCCCAAGATGCATCTCCAACTGTTCCCTGAACAAACCACAAACGCCACGCAGCGGAAGGTTACAGAGAGGCAGTCGCCACACTCAGATACGATGGTGGCAATGGACGGATCCGCGCTGCTGTACCATTACCTCTCCCGCTCCTCGCCACAGCAGCAGCAGCAGACAAAGCCCTACGGCCATCCAGGCGACCACCGGAGCCAGGAGGGACAGGACGCACCAGCATCCAGTGCCCGCGCCGCCTGCAGAAAAGGAGCCCTCCTCGTTAGCGTGGGGTGCCACTCGTGGCCACAAGACGGTCCCACATGGGAGGCCACCCGCGAGCATCAAGGCGCAATGCGGGCAGCGAGTCCGGTGGTGAAGCAGCTCCCTGTGGCTGGCCAGGGGAGAGGGGCGCGTGCACCGCGGTGCCCCTGCCGTGCAGCCGCAGCCTTCACAGCTGCACGTGGCTCTCCTTGTAACGGACGGGGCGGCGTGGAGCTGGTGGCTTCCTCTGCCAGCCCCTCACCACGCGCTCAGCCACAAGTCACGCGCATTTGCCGCCACGTGTTTTGTAAAGAGTTACAACATCTTCAGTGGTGTGCTGCTCGCTTGGCCCTTGTCACAATAATGGAATGAGATGAATATTGTACACTACGCATTTTTGATATTTGACAATGAAATAAGAATGCGATAAAAACCTAAATTGTGCGAAACCCATATGATGCGTGCAGTCATTTAAGCTGAAAAATCTCTGTTAAACACGCCCTTCACTCATTCACTGAGGTTAACCTACACACTGCACAGACTTAAATTGAGCGAAGTCATGAATGAGGGCAATCCTGAGTGAGTACATTCCGGAATGAGCACCTTGAATGTCAAAGACGGCCTCGGTCTCGCCGACCTCGTTTGCCGCCACACAGGTAACAATCTGTTCCTGTGATCGGTTCATAACCACGGAGCTCCGAGTCAGGGTTCCATCCCCACGCTGGGTCTGGTTCCATTCTGATGCATCACTCCCCACGGTTCTCCAGGTGATGGTGGCACGAGGATTCGCCTTCACCTCGCAGAGGATGCAGAGGTCACTTCCACCCCCACACGTCTCATCCTGAGAGAGGTTCACCACCACCGGTGCATCTGTCAGAGGAGAATCCAACAGTCATTGTTGACAAGTGGTTGGGAGAGGAGAGGGAGCCTATCTTTACTCCCTTGTGCAGCCACACAGTGCTCAGTGAGTAGGGGTCAAGGCCCTATCTGCCAGGCTCACAGCATTTACTGTCTGCCCAGAAGGGTTGTCCCGTGCTGGCACTGAGGTGCTCTGCATCTCAGGTCACCTGGCCCTGTGTACGGACTAAAGACGCCTGTTCAGTTTCTGTCACGTGCAGCAGCGATGATCGCCTGTGTTATCTCACCTCAAGCAATTAAGTGACTTACAGACACTGGAGGGCATCGAACAAAGCCAGCAATTACTGTGCCATTCATAGCACCACAGTGGTACAGTCTGTACACGAATCTAAACACAAGGACAACAACCACTGATGGACACTCACACTTCACGTCCAGGATGAATTCTTGGACCATCGTTGAGGCCAGGTCGCCTCCCGAGGCTTCACAGCGACATCTCCTTCCATGGTCCTCGGCTGACGGGGTGAAGCTGAGCCAGCTCGTCACGGTGAACGTCCCGTCTGCTGGAGATTGACTCGGGGAGGTTGAGTTTGTCCACGTGTTGAACTTAGTTTGTCCACTTGAGTTTGTCCACTTGACGGCGTCGACCAGGAGCCAGCGGACAGTGACAGAGTCCATGGGGACCACGGCGTCCACGCTGCAGCCCAGGGTGGCCGGCACGGTGGCACGGAGCTCTGACTGGGCCGGTGGAAAGGCTGAAGACAAGGGGCATTGGTTACTGACATGAGTTGACATGGACAGGAAGAGTGATATTGACAGTCCAGAACATTATCCACAATGCACGGAGGCAATCGTACACACTTGGAGCAAGGATCACTACACAATCAATAAAAAATATATTATCCCAAATAGTACTAAAATACTGGAATTTAAATAAATATATATGCCTGTAATTATGTTAATGGTGTACAAACTGGGAAAACACAACAACCGAACCTCACATCACAGCACACACAGGAACCACACAGCATCCATAATAACCATTCAGCACAAACAGTAATCACACATCACACACAGTAATCACACATCACACACAGTAATCACACATCACACACAGTAACCACACATCACACACAGTAACCACACATCACACACAATAATCACACAGACAGCAATCACACACAGTAATCACACATCACACACAGTAATCACACATCACACACAGGAACCACACAGCATCCACAATAACCATTCAGCACAAACAGTAATCACACATCACACACAGTAATCACACACACAGTAATCACACAGCACACACAGTAATTACACATCACACACAGTAATCACACATCACACACAGTAATCACACAACACACAGAGTAATTACACATCACACACAGTAATCACACATCACACACAGTAATCACACAACACACACAGTAATCACACATCACACACAGTAATCACACGACACACAGTAATCACACAACACACACAGTAATCACACATCACACACAGTAATCACACAGCACACACAGTAACCACACATCACACACAGTAATCACACGACACACACAGTAATCACACATCACACAGCAATCACACACACAGTAAACACACATCACACACAGTAATCAAACGACACACACAGTAAACACACAATACACACAGTAATCACATAGCACACACAGTACTCACGCAACACACTTGAATGTCCTTTGTCACTCTTCTGAGGAGTGATCACTTACAGAAAACCTGCAGCTCCGTCCATGAATATTTGCTGTTTGTGTTGGGGCTCGTCACTTCACATCCGTACCAGCCCACGTCTGTTACAGCCACAGCTTCCAAGGTCAGCAGACTCCTTCTCTCAAACAAACTCTCGTACTGGCCATCTGATCTGTACTTCCACCACTTAAAGTTGTCTGCTTGCTGGGAGTTCGTGGTTCTGCAGTTCAGAGTGGCTCGTGTCCCCGCTTTCTCGATCAGTCTCTTGCTTCCCTCAATGTCTGGAGTGAATGATCTGTTAAAGACTGAGACAAAAAATATTTTACAACAAGAACCATGTATGTTGAACTTCCTTCGCACCGTACGTAGCCAACCGTGCTAAGCAGAGGAACGGTATCATGGTTATGATACCGCATCAAAACTACTTTTATGGTTATGAAGGGGTATAAATGTATCACAAGTCACAGCTCTCCCTGATGAACGCTCACACTGGACTCACAGGGACGGGCCAGTAATAATAATAATATCCTCTATTTAGCTAGGAAAGCCTCCCCGAGTCACAAGACTTTTACATTGAACCCTCACATTGAGATGTTTGGCCAACCCCATGATTTATATTTTGGCAAGTGAAAGGAAATCGTGCGTACGTGGGTCAAACACTCATAGCTCCGCACTGATAGATTCAGGATTCCATAGCAGTTCCGCCATCTCCTGGCAGCCAGTGTGCACAGAGCTCAGCACTGCGGGCACATGGCCCCGCGTATCGGTAGAGGCAGTCCTGGGAGCGCAGCCTCGCGCTCTGCACAGACGCAGCAGCACATCCACGAACTCTGACCTCGTGATGGTAAAGGGTTCTTGGTCTGGCTGGGCGGTGGGGACCTACAGTGACTGGACGCAGGGCACAGCACGCGGCTGTTGTTCAGCCCCACGTGGTCTGCACCACGTGGGGCGTGGTGGGCGGGGCTGCAGTCGGTCACGTGGAAGAGGCCCTTTTGGGTGCACATTGTAAGTGTTCACTCGTCTCAGTGTTTCCAGATGAGAGGGGTTACCGCTGTACCGAGACGTCTCATTGGGGGTTAATGAGTGTAAATAAAGTTTGTAAAGAACACTTTCATTCTGAAGGGGTTTCCTTGACTGCCAATAATCGACTATAACCGCCGTTTGAACAGCAAGGATGCCTTCTTTGCTGGGCTTGGCACCAGGGAAATGCAATGTATACCCGACATCTGCTTTTAACACACAGGGTTCAATACAAGTTCACTTTCACCCGCAAATTTGGTGATCCACTTTTTAATGCCGTGGCCTTAAACATTCTGACCCAGTCTCCCGGAGATGAGAGAGGAGGCGAGGGGCAGGCTACAGACTGTGGAGCTCACACAACGCGAACTTTCCCATTGGCAGAACAATGTTCAACTGCGGGCGGTTCTCGCACCGCCTACATTCGCCTCTAGACACGAACGCGAGTTTTAATTTGTTTACCATGGACGTGGCAATGCCTCTTTAGTTGTTTACTGCTCGGGAAAGAGTCATGGAATGTTCCGTACCTGTAATTGTAATCCCTGATTTTTCAATGAGCTTAGTTCTATGGTCGACGTTAGCGCGGAAGAAATATGTCATCGAGTCTCTCTTCATCGCGTCTCTGATCTCCAGGGAGCAGCTCCCCGAGCTCAGACTCCCCACCAGCGCCACTCTCCCCCTGTACTCCGCTATGTGGCTGGTGTTCCTCACTGAGCTGTAGACAATGTTCTCTGTCCTTGTCTCGTCAAAGGCATTGTTAATGAGCCAGTAGCCCTGCACACTGTAGTCACGGCGACCCCACGAGAAGCAGAAGGCGCAGGGCAGCAGCGCCCGGTCTCCCTCCCGCACCCCCAGCGAGTGTCCGTAGCTCGCAAAGGCAACAGTCAACCCAGCACCACCTGTGAGAGACGCACAGTTACCGTACACATGGCTGTGAACTGTGTGCCTATGTGTGTGTGTCTCTCTCTCTGTGAGTCTCTGTTATCTCTCTCTGCTTGTGTGGATGTCTGTGTGTCTCCGGTCCTGTTTGAGCTCTCTCTTAAATTTAGCAATCTTTGGAAGAACGTAATCAACCAGGTAGGGTGTTGACTGTCATGCTAGCCGACTCTCTGTGCTGTATTGCATTATAATTCTAAGTTTACGAGGTTTGTTTTTTGTCTTTCATTTGTACCTGATGATGATTGCTTGTGGTGCAATCGAAACGTCGCATGCTATTATTTAGTTTATTATTTTCTCTTTCTACGTGGACTTTACCGAAAGACCAAAGAGCAATTCCTGCAGTCACGGAAGCGCCCGATGAAGTTTTTAAGGGAGAACTTCTCCGCTGCCGCGTCTGCCCCTGCAGGGCCGAGTGGCCGTGGATTCCGGCATCAGCGACCACAGTCGCATTCATGAAACTCCGTGGGGCACTTGGAGATGTCGCGCCATCGAAGCGTCCAATTCATCCCACTGCTTACTCCTTCCCCTGAATATCAGACTCAGAATCTCTATTTAGAGTGGAGGAATCCGATGAGCTATGAAGCTCTTGTAGACAAATGTCCATTAGGGGCAGGTCACCAATTTACAATGGCAAATAATAGGAATATAAAATGGATAAACGGTAAGCAAGTCACGAAGGTTAATGCATAAAATACATAAAGTATGTTAAAACATTATCCGAGAAGATGAAAGCGGGTCGATTCCATATAAATGATTACGCAAGCAACAAGAGAGCTCATGCTAAATTCATGTTATTGTATCCTGCAGCTGTAGGCGTACATATCACACGAAGCTGAACTCCTGGTGTCCCAGTGTACTCCTGGGTCTCCAACTCAAATCTGAAGTAGTAGGTGGTGGCATCTGAGACTGCGACATTCTTGATCTTGAGAACGCAGCTACCGCTGCTGAGATCTCTGCTCAAGGAGGTCCGCCATCTGTAGGTCACAGCCACCCCTGTTGACGTGGAGCTGTAGACGATGTTATCTGCTGTGGCTGCAGTGCCATCTCTCGTCCACCTGACTCGTGAAACGTTTCCTTCTCCTGAGGGGAACCAGAACCGGCAGGGGAGTTCCACCTCTGCTTCCTCTGTTGCAGTCACCAGCAACTGCTCATAGTTTACTCCCCAAGCATCGCCTGCAGCCTCTGAGAGCACAAGACACGAGGGGACACACGGGAAGTCGCGTCACAGTGATGTCGCATAGTAAGTAGGCAACTGCGCTAATAGGCAGTGCGTGATCACGTGCACACAGACACTCGTGACGAGTGGACACACGTCCCACGTGGACACGAGTAGCGGTGAGATGCCTCCGAGCGAGTGAGAGACGCCCTCATGAGGTGGCTCCGTGTTGAGAGAAAGCACTGCGGTTTCGGGGACACCCAGGACATCTCCTCATGCACTGGAGGCAGAGGAGTCTGCCACGTCATGGTGAGAGCAGAGATGGGGAAGAGATGGAGAGAAAGAGGAGATGTGAAGAGGTATCGAGAGTCACCGTGCAGATGGAGGAATCCACTGAGAAGGCACAGGAGGAGGCTGGTCTGGAACACTCCCATCAGGCCTGCAACACAAACAGACTCACTACACAGACTGACTCACTACACAGACTGACTCACTACACAGACTGACTCACTACACAGACTGGTTCACTACACAGACAGACTCACTACACAGACTGACTCACTACACAGACTGGTTTACTACACAGACAGACTCACTACACAGACTCACTACACAGACTGACTCACTACACAGACTGGCTCACTACACAGACTGACTCACTACACAGACTGACTCACTACACAGACTGACTCACTACACAGACTGACTCACTACAGAGCCAGGTTCACTACACAGACTGACTCACTTCACAGACTGACTCACTACACAGACTGGCTCACTGCACAGAATGGCTCACTACACTGACAGGTTCACTACACTGACATGCTCAGTATACATACAAACTCATGACACAGACAGGCTCACTACACAGAAAGGCTTGCTCACGACTAAGGAATGCTGACCCCACAGACATGCTCACAAGATAGACATACTCGATACACAGACAGGCTCACTACAAACACAGGCTCACTACACTGGCTGGCTACACAACAAACCCTCACAAATCTTACAAAATCTTCCTCGGTAGATTCATCAGCTTACTGTGTATATGTTCCCTAACTTCTTACAGGTTCACCATACATAGCCTGCTCAACTTGCCTGGTAGGTGGCGGAGAGAATGGTATCGGAGTTTGAGATGGTGGCTCTGGAAGAGGCGGTCTTGTGGAAGGGGCTTGTTCTGGAGGAGGTTGTTGTGGAAGAGATGGTGCTAGAGCAGACGGTGTGGGTCTAGAAGTCGTCCTTCCGGATGAGGTGATCCCGCGTCCTCTAGGGTCCCGTCTGGCCATGTACCGGAGAGACCAGAGCTCTCACTGCACCCACGGCTCGATGCGAGTTGAAGGGGTCAAAGAAGGCATCGGGCAGTGGGGCAATGCGGCGAGGCTGCCTCGTTTTGCTTTTGCTTCACGATTCTCCACCACTTCTTCTTTCCACGCTTCCCGGCAGCGACTGCTCTGGTGTCACCCCCCCCATGCCGCAAGCCGCATGCAGCGTGTGCATAAATACAGCGATGAGCGCAGTCCTCTTGAAATTCCCTCCTGTCAGCAGAAGAGTAAGGCTTGCGACGTCACTACCTACAGCTGCGAGGTTTTCTTTCGACCCTGGGCAGGCGACGTGCCCAGGTCCCCAGTAGGGATCAGGTCACGCTGTGATCCTGTGAACCATCAAGTGTCAAACGGATCTCCTCAATGGACTCCTCCACAAGAGGGCCTTGGCCTCACTGAGTAATAGAGTCACACATTAAGGCTTCTAGTTGCTGCTACTGTCTTGCAATGCTGCGCAAAGAAACGCACCAATTTGTAAAACCCTGGCACAAACCATGAGACCATGGACCTCAATCACATTTCATGAATCCGTGTTATTTATTTGTAGATTGTCCGACATCCCCCATGACGGGAAAGGCTTCCCCCACAATTGGTCCAGCGTAGAGAGGCGTTATACTCTTAGTTTGTCATCCACATCACCACAAGCCTCAAGAGATCTCAGTAGAAATGTGGTTTCTCTGTTCACAAAGACGCGATCCTGGCTTTGTGTTGCCAGCCCCCCTCCCTCCTCCCTCGCTCCGGAGGTGGGGCTGGTAACCTGCTAATTCAACTCCGCCCACAGTTTCAAAAGACACGGTCCTTGCTTAACAGCGTTCATTCAAGTTCTGTCTTCTTGATAGACCTGTTTCTTCACCTGAAGAAGGCCACTTGTGTTGTGGCCGAAACGTCGTGAGAATTCCATTATTTTATTTCATTATTTTATTTCCATTCTACGTGACTTTACCGAAAGAACCAATAAGATGAATCCCTGCAGTCACGAAAGCTTTAAATCGAAACCTTATCAATAATTGAAGATTTAGTCCAACATGGACTGAACCCTGATATTCCTACTCTTGTTAGGCACTGCCTTACCAACACTTACTTCACCTGGAATGGTACTTTCTACAAACAAAATGAAGGTACACCCATGGGATCACCCTTATCTCCAGTGATAGCGAATGTTTTCATGGAGAAATTGGAAATTGATGCCATCCAGACATCCACCCTACGTCCTTCCTTGTGGAAGAGATATATAGATTACACTTTCGTAAATTGGCCACATGGCCTAACAACATTGAACCAATTCCTCAACCACATCAATTCCATACACCCATCCATCAAATTCACCATGGAAATGGAGAAGGATGGTAAGCTACCATTCTTGGATGTTTCGTTTGATAAGAAGCTTGATGGCTCCTTAGGACATTCTGTCTACAGGAAAGCCACCCATACAGATTCCTATCTGAAACCTGAATCCCACCACCCGGCACAGAAGATTTCCTTCATCAAAACCTTGCACCATAGGGCCCACCTCATTTCTGACCAACACCACTTGACTAGTGAGCTGGAACACGTACGACGGGCCCTCAAGATGAATGGATACTCAGACCGAACTCTCTGCAATGCTGTCTCTCCAAACATGGAGAAACAACCCCCTGAGACGCTGATCAAAACCATCACGTTAGCATACATAGCAGGCGTTACCAAAAAGATTTCCAAAATCTTCAACAAACACAAGATCCAGGTCCGATTCAGTACAGTACACAAAAATCCGTGATCTAATCCCATCTGTGAACGATGTCATTCCTGATTTGCAATACCCTGGATTCTACAAACTAAGTTGCATCTGTGGTGATTGTTACATTGGGGAAACGAAACGTCATGTCTCTGACCGGCTCCGCGAGCATAAGTCAGATCTGAAACATGGCAGAACTAATTCCTCAGCCGTTGCTGAGCATTGCTATAACGCCGTGGGCTCCCATGATATTGTTTTCTCCAAGACCAAGGTGCTCTGCAAGCCGTCTGGCTACCAAATATTTGTTCATGAAGCCATCCAGATATACAAACATAAACATAACTTCAACCGAGAGGACGGACGTAAATTGAGCAATCATTGGAAAGATGTTATTAACCAAGTTAAAATTTAACTGTTCATAGTTCCATATTATTTACCGGGTATTAGTCTATTTTACCGAGTTAATTGCATCCTTAGCGTATAGCAGTGCGGCTATTCTGCTTTAGGTGTCATCATCTATCTTGGCAAGAATCATGTTGCCCTTACTCAGCGTCTCTGCTGTTCCTGCAGTGTGTGCACTCCATTCACCCCCCCCCCCCCCTACCCTCCCCCCTACCCCCCCCCCCCTGTCTGACTTATTTAACTTCCCTAACCTTGGTCTCTCTCCCACTTCAGTAAAAAAAAAATATTTGCTGTGGTTGTCACACCTGATGATGATTGCTTGTGTTGCAATCGAAACGTCGTGATTTAGTTATTCATATTTTATTATTTTATTGTTTCCCTTCAACGTGACTTTACGGAAAGAGCCAAGAATATTAGTTATTTATATTTGTTATTTTTATTACTTATTTATTATGTATTTTTTCACCTATGTGACTTTACCGAAAGAACCAAAGAGTTTGTAGTGAGTCAGTCTGTGTAGTGAATCTGGCTCTGTAGTGAGCCTGTCTGTGTAGTGAGCCTGTCAGTGTAGTAAGCCTGTCTGTGTAGTGAGCCTGTCAGTGTAGTGAGCCAGTCTGTCTTGTGAGCCAGTCAGTGTAGTGAGCCAGTCAGTGTAGTGAGTCTCTCCGTGTTGCAGGTGTAGAGGTGCTAACTACTCACTTTTCGGTAACCTGCATCGCCACTAAGTATCACGGGGCAGTGCAGTGCTACCTCTCTGTGTGAATAACGGTTGGGGTCAGACGAGGTGAAGTGGATCGTAGCCACAGTTTGGTAACAACCAATCAGACAGTTCCACGTGGGAATGTGGGATTGGTTAGACCTGGCCACGAACGGGTATAAGAAGGGTGAGCGCGCAGAGCGCGGGGAGTTCTCTCCCTACACGAAGACCGAAGCCCGGGCTGAAGATAGCCAGGACCCTGGACCCGGCCTTCCAGCCCTTCTGAGGGCTAAGGCTCGGCGTATCCAGTGGTCAAGACCCACCGGGCTAGCGGTGGGTCAGATAGCCTCCCCTAGGTCCCAGCCGGAGGACTCTAGGATAGCGGTAGACTAAAGAGTAAGTCCCGCCAAGACAGGAAGCTGTACCTCCTTAGGTTAGCAAAGAGACCTGTGTGTACCTTCTTAGGTTAGGAAGAGACCTCTGTGTAGGTCCCGCTAAGTCCGGAGGCTGTACCTTCTTAGGGTATCAGAGGAGAAAGACAATAAACAGAGTGTGCCTCTTCTTTGGTTCTTTCGGTAAAGTCACGTAGAATGAGAATAAAATAATAAATTGATAAAAAAATAACACAATAATATTCTCACGACGTTTCGGCCGCAACACAAGCGGCCTTCATCAGGTGAAGGGACGAGACTGTCTGGTAGGACAGCGCTGGAGTGAAAAAGCCACGCTCAGATCACGACCTTTAAGCTGTGTGAGAAGAAACAAAGTGCCTTGACAAAGGAATTAGCATATAATTTAGCATTGAAATGGCTGAGTGATTAGCTTGTGACTGGTCACAGAAATGGCTATGTTAAAGTTAAAGCATACACATCCGCAGAGGCACCCCTTGACAAAGGAATTAGCATAGAATTTATCATTGAAATAGCTAAGTTAAAGCATACACATCCGCCCCCTTTGCTCCATGCATACCTCATGATAAATTGTCCCATTGTCTCTCAGCCTTACCTTCTCTGCCTATTTAAGGCGACTTCACTGTGTGCGTGTCTGTGCTGGTTCGCTCTACTTGGATGTCTATGTGTGTGTGCGCAGTCTGTATTTTAAATTTCATACTTAATTTGCAATTTAGCAATCATTGCAATAGCGTGATCAACCGGACTAAGCGTTAATTGTGTTTTGACCGACCGTCTGTGTTGCTTTATATGGTTTCCAAATTTTGCTAAACCCTGTTTGTTTAGTATACTTCTCTCTCTGTGTCCCCTGTTGTATCTGTGTTAGTTCCCCCTTACTTGGGTGTCTGTATATACATCTGGGCTTATGTGTTTCCTCTCTCTCGTAAATTTAGCTCTTCTGTACCTGATGATGGCTGCTTGTGTTGCAACCG